TGGTCAAACAAATGGCAACTTCAAATCTCAACAAATAAATGCTCTGTCTTACATATTGGCAAAAAAAATCAGAAAATAAAATACAAGCTGAATAGTCAAGATCTTGTTGATGACCCAAGCTCTGTAAAGGACCTTGGAATACTCACCTCTAATGATCTAAGTGCTAGAGCACACTGCAACTACATAGCCAAAAAGGCATTAAGAGTTGTTAACCTAATCCTACGTAGCTTTTTCTCTGGTAATATCACACTACTAACCAGAGCATACAAAACATTTGCTAGACCAATACTCGAATACAGTTCATCAGTCTGGAACCCACACTACGTATCTGATATTAGCACAATTGAGAAAGTCCAGAAATATTTCACAAGAAGAGTTCTCCACTCCTCTACTCGTTGTAGAATACCTTATGCCACCAGACTTGAAATTCTAGAACTTGAAAACCTTGAATTACGCCGTCTTCGGTCTGACTTAAGCATGGTATATAAAATCATACATTGCAATGTCCTACCTGTCAATGAATACTTCAGCTTCAACCATAACAACACAAGAGCACTGTTAGGTATAACATTGATACCAAATATAGTTTGGGTGAATAAATATATAAAACTTAGATATCATGGTTTAAGTGCTTATCACTTTAAGCACAATGCTGAAGGCAATTAGCCGATTAAGGGTGCGGTTAGAAGTTACAATATAAGGAAGCATTAGAAGCTGAAAAAATTACTGTGACTTACTGTGACTACCTGTGCTTTACTGTGACTTACTGCGACTAACTGTGTCTTACTGCGACTAATTGTGAGTGCCTGTGACTGAACTGTTCTTGTTTGCTACTGTTTGCTGATTTACTGCGTAATTCTACTGTTCTACTGTTTGAACTTCTTGCTGAATATCCAGCGTTTGTTCCTCTGGAGAGAGGCACCGGAGGAGGAGAAGATATCTTTATCGGCTGATAAAGATATTGCAAGGACTCTTAACTTGGACTATAATAGTGAGTCTTACTGGATGGAAATACTGTGAATGACTTAATGGACTGAATGACAATGCTTTAAACTCTAATTGGATTAAAAACTATTTAAACTACAAACAGTGTTTGTGTTCAGTGTGTGTATACTCTGGGGCCCTTCCTGGCTTGACTACTGCTGCAATACTCTGCTAGGGGTTAATCCCCAAAAACACTAACAAGCACACAATAGATACAAACTCAAAGTAAACCGCACCAAACTTGATTGCAGGAAATACGACTTCAGCAATAGAGTGGTCAATGTCTGGAATACTCTACCCGACTCTGTAGTTTCTTCCCCAAACCCCAAAAACTTTAACCTTAGACTGTCTACTATTGACCTCACCCCTTTCCTAAGAGGTCTGTAGGGGGCGTGCATAAGCGCACCAACGTGCCTACCGTCCCTGTCCTATTGTTTCTCCTATTCTTTTATTTTTCTTATATGTACCCATTTCATGTATTCACATCTATGTATACATTTATACTTATTATCTTGTAAACAATTGGCAAATCAAATAAATAAATAAATAAATAAATAAATAAATAGAATAGAATAGAATAGAATAGAATAGAATAGAATAGAATAGAATAGAATATGGACTGGACTGGAATGGAATAGAATATGGAATGGAATGGAATGGAATGGAATGGAATAGAATAGAATAGAATAGAATAGAATAGAATAGAATAGAATAGAATAGAATAGAATAGAATTCTTTATTGGCCAAGTGAGATTGGACGCACAAGGAATTTGTCTTGGTGCAAATGCTCTCGGTGCCCATAAAAGAAAATATACATTCTCCAAGAGTCAAGAATCATCAGGTACAACACTTAATGATAGTCATAGGGCACAATAAGAATAGAATGGAATGGAATGGAATGGAATGGAAT